TTATCTAGCTTATAAGTTGTAGAAGTTCATATCTGATTTAGGAAATCCAGGCTGCGAGTGTTCCTTATGGGCCATTCCCATCTGTACCGGGTCGGCCCGGGCCGGGTAGCCCCAGCCTGGCCCGGTTGATTCCACACACCCTTGTCTTAAGCCCATGTGGGCTGATTCTACCCACCAATCAGAGGCTTGCTCTAATGGAAGGTGTGAATTTGCTGTCAGCAGTGGGTGTGTTGGCCCTGGTCGGCCTGAAGCAGACCCCCTCGAGAAGAGGGCTGAGAAGGAGCCTTGGTTGGCCCGGAAAAATACCAGGCCACCCAGATATGTAAACAACCTACGCTACCCGGCCCGGTACAGATGGGAATGGACCATTGCATTGAGGCATGAAGAGCCCTGAAAGACGATAAGTTCAAGCTTGAACCTTGGGGAACATTGTTATTGACGCTTCGTTATCTGTGTTCAGAGCTGCAGAGAGGCTCTGAGCTCCAGCTGGTAGGATGAAGGCAGGCTGATTTAAAGGGAACACGTGCAGTCTCGTGTCTCCTTTATGACCCAATGTTGAATGGTCAAACTGTACCTAAAACTGACCATTGCTGGACGTTACATCATCTATCAAGGATCAATCGGCTGGTTTGGAGAAGACATCTGCAAAGCGAAAAATGTGTTTTCCTTCATGTTTATGCCACTTTTGCTCTGATTCATTGTGGGGCAGCTGCAGAGCTGTGATCTGATCAGTCAATCAATCAATCAATCAATCAATCAAAGATACTTCATTAATCCCAGAGGGAAATTAGAGTTTCAGTACACACAATTCAGAGATCAGACATACATGGGCAAGACACCATGTATGATCTCCAAGGTCTTAGTTTTTCTGACACTCTACATCCCTGACAATGTCTCCAGATTCATCAGATGGATCCAATCTTATCCCTCGTCTCAGCTGTGTCATAAGTAAGAGAAGAAGCAGGGAGAGTGGAGAGAAAATCAATAGCACGGGGTAGCACATCCGCACCGAGGCTCCGGGCCCAATCATCTCTTCCTAGTGGCGATACCATCCTCTGAGATATCCATCTAATTCTTATGAGGCTCCGAGCTGCCAGTCTAGACTTTCATCCTTCTGTACACAAACATAAAAGGACCTGTATTATCATATCAAAAAAAAGAGTGTGCGATTCGAAAAGCAGGGGCTTAAAGCGAAAGCTGCCACAAAAATCAGACGAGATTACCGGGGATGTTTCACTCTCAAGTCTGCAGGTGACTAATTAGTTTCATGTCTAATTGCGCAGCTTTTATTGTTTGTTCAGGATTTGATTTGCTTAGCTTCCTGCCCACCGTGTGGATTCCCTAAGCTTTGAGTTGGCAAGGTTAATGTTACAAATCTAGTAGAAAAGCTTTAACTTCCATGGAGAGTCCCCCATTTTTTATAGACCTGAAGAGTGTTTTCTCACCGTGTGGGGGATAATAATAATAATAATAATAATAATACATTTTATTTCAAAGCGCCTTTCAGGACACCCAAGGTCACTTGACAGAAAACACGTAATAAAATACAATAAAACAATAATAAAACCCAAACAAGAAAAAACAAAGAGAGAAACAGTTCAATAAAATCAGAGGTTGTAAGCAGATTTAAACATGTGTGTTTTGAGTTTTGATTGGAAAAGGGTAAAACTGTCGATGTTCCTGATGTCTGGGGGGAGTGAGTTCCAGAGACGGGGAGCAGAGCGGCTGAAAGCTCTGCTCCCCATGGTAGCGAGACGGGCAGAAGGAACCGCAAGATGGATGGAAGAAGAAGATCTGAGTGAACGGGACGGGGTGTAAATACTTATAAGGTCTGAGATATATGGAGGAGAGAGGTTATGGTTTGCTTTGAAGGTATGGAAGAGAATTTTGAAGATGGACCTGAATTTAACTGGGAGCCAGTGAAGCTGCTGGAGAACCGGGGTGATGTGGTGAAAGGAAGGGGTTCTGGTGATAATACGGGCTGCTGAATTCTGGACCATTTGCAGTTTATGAAGGAGTTTGTTGGGGAGACCAGATTGTTGGGGATCTCCCAGATATTACATTTCCATGAGGAAAATACAAATTCCAAAGCATCTCACTCTCTCATTTTGTATCTGTGTTCTGTTTTAGGTCTGTTAACCTGATTCAAAGCCAAATGGAGTCACTCCTGGTGTACGTGATAGTCCTCGGTGTGGCTATAAAGGCTCACAAAGTCCAGATCTGCCCCAAACGCTGCGTCTGCCAGGTGCTAAATCCCAATCTGGCAACCTTGTGCGACAAAAAGGGACTGCTGTTTGTTCCTCCGAACATCGACAGGCACACAGTGGAGATGCGGCTCGGGGACAACTTTGTAACCAGCGTCAAACGCAAAGACTTTGCAAACATGACCAAGCTGGTGGACCTGACCCTGTCTCGTAACACCATTGGATCCATCGCGCCTTATGCCTTCAAAGACCTGGAGAACCTACGAGCCCTTCACCTGGACAGCAACCGTCTCACCCGCATCACCAATGACACCTTCAGCGGGATGTCCAAGCTGCACCACCTCATCCTCAACAACAACCAGCTCACCCACGTCCACATCGGAGCCTTCAACGACCTCACAGCGCTGGAGGAGCTGGATTTATCGTACAACAACTTAGAAAGTGTCCCGTGGGTGGCCATTCAGAGGATGTCCAACCTCCATACACTCAACCTGGACCACAACATGCTCAGCCTCATTCCAGCAGGAACGTTCTCCGGGCTGCAGAAGCTTAAGAGGCTAGATGTGACCTCCAACAAGCTCCAGAAGCTTCCTCCTGACCCTGTCTTCCAAAGGGCGGGGGTCCTGGCCACCTCTGGGATAATGGGGCCTTCGTCGTTTGCGTTGAGCTTCGGAGGGAATCCACTGAGGTGTAACTGCGAGCTGCTGTGGCTGCGAAGGCTGCGGAGGGAGGATGACCTGGAGACCTGTGCTTCACCGCAGCACCTAGCTGGACGTTACTTCTGGACTGTTTCGGAGGAGGAATTCCTGTGCGAGCCCCCTCTCATCACCCGGCACTCTCAGGTAGATATTGCAATTAACGGATTATTGTAAAAAAATGCAGCTTCAGCCCGTGGAAAAGCTTTTAGAGATCTTCTGTAGCAGAATTCTCTGTGATGGTTACAACTATGGTAATAAACGGTTTACTTGTTTAGGGTTTATCGGAGGTGAAACTCCTGGTACGCAGCGGAGGCTTGCACTGATTCAGTCCTGGAGCCATGCATCCAAACAGAATCATTCAATCAAGTTCTTGCCAAATAACGATGGCAGCATCAACTCATTTATATTCATCAGACCTGCTCTGCAGAACTGCGGGGAAAATGAACTTCCTCTTGGGTTCCAGAATGTATACTGGAACGTTTTGTCTTGTTGATTATCTTGCTGTTATGAAAACACAGACAAGGATTTATTTTACAAAGGAAACGCAGTTAAACACAGCTCACAGCCTCCTTTCCACTGGATAGAGATCAGTGTATTACCTAATCATTGTCTACAAATGCCCCCCCCCCCCCCCCCCCCCCCATTCCTCCTCAGGAGCTGCGAGCGTTGGAGGGTCAGAGTGTGACGTTGCGTTGCAAAGCCAGGGGTGACCCAGACCCCGTCATCCATTGGATCGCACCAGACGGACGCCTTATGTCCAACTCCTCCAGGGCCGTGGTCCACACGGACGGCACGCTGGAGATCCTCATCAGTACCGTCAAGGACTCGGGTCTGTTTACATCCCGCTGGCTGGGCTTGTGATGTTGACTGAACAGAATTAGTTGTTTGCTTGTGCACACAGAAGGCTGAGGGGTGGAGCTTTTGTCTACACTAGACGATGAAGCTGAGATAGTGGAGATGTGCAGGTTGATGTGCTGATATGAGCAGCAAGGAGACTAAAACAGACCTTTTTACTTTGACATTTAAGCTTTTGCAGAAAAGAATTTTTGTCTTAATGACATACTGCAACTTTTTCATTTCAATCATTTTCTTGAGCTAGTATGTGCTAAAATGACCCTTTACAGGGCTATTGAAATGTGGCTCAGACCCCCACCACCCTCTGTGGCAATAATACCGCACTTGATACTTCAGAGTGCCAGTCTGGTCCCTGTTGGACTTAGTAAAGTGTAGCTGACATGCTAGCTCTGGACGTTTCCTGCATTCACATTCAGTGGAAAGGCCAGGTTAGCGCTATCATGAACACAGCTGATTTGCTTGATTTAGTGATGAATCTATCCTGTGGTCACTAATGAAGACTGAGGAGACATTTCAGCTGTTGCATTAAAGGGGCAATATGGAAGTTTGACAACCAAAACATGTATAGAAATAATAAATGTCTTCTTCATACATTCTCCTGCAATGCCCTGGTCCTGTAGAATGAGCCCTGGCATTTTTACTGTGATTGCCTGTTTTTCTGTAAAATCACAGAAAAAGAGAGATGCTCGGGTCAAGCAGGCTGCTTCATGCGCGTTCACGCTCAGGCATCGGCCGTAGCATTTGCTATCCGTAGCTTTAGCAGCAGAGAGAGAGGCAGTGCCACTTTGTCGCTGTTCCTAACGCCTAGTGACAAAGCTAGCTACATTTCTGAGGACCCTTAGCTACTTTCTGTAGAACTTTCTTCTAGATATTTCCTGCAAATTAGCAACAAAATAGCTGTGAATGTCACTAGAGTGTAGCTCACCTAGTAAGACATCGGACTCTCGTGCAGGAGACCTGGGTTCGATTCTGGGTGTGAACATAGTTCATTTAGAGTTTCTTTTTTACATTAATGGTATATTTTTTTACAGTAAGACGCTCAAAATTTTTTTTGAGACTCGCCGAACGGCATTGAATTCACAGATAAAAAAGATGTGGGTTCAACTTTCATTTTGGAACAATTTTTCAAGCAAGGGAAGGGAATGATCTGAGCATGCAGGAGGACTGACCCATCATAAACCTTTGTCGGCTGAATTTAATTAATTAGCTGCACATTCTCCTGTCCTCTGTCCTCCAGGCCACACCCACACACACACACACACACGGGACTGTCTCAGCTGTTATTTTCATTAAGGAGTGTGCGCGTACAGCATGCGCACCTCGTGCACGAGCCTACTATTGAAGCTGCCGTTACGCTTTTGGCCTGAGGGGGCAATCACGAGCATAAAAATTCAAAAGTCCGTAAAGTCCCTTTAAGGGTTAGGTGTTAAAAAGACAAACGCACAGCCAGGAGATAAGTTTCACTTTTGGTTTAACTTACTAGGGGGTGCTAAAAGAAAGTGCATAGTATCCCTTTAAGGAGACAGTTTTTTGGCATGCTTCTATTGTTATAAATTATTATTGTGTTGCCTGTTGTATCTTCCTGAAGGACTTCTATGGAAAAATAGTTGACGACCTTCAGGACTGAAGAGCTAACAGCTAGTTCAAGCTGCCTTCTGACAACAGTCCCAGTCTAAAGACTAAAAGTGTTTCATTATAAGTTACTTTATTAAATTTGTTAATTGATCAGATTTAATTTACATAGAATTGTCAGATTTTGAAGGCTCTCAGCAGGATTTAAAAATTGTCGGCCGATTTTCAAAAGACAAGAGACCCCACACAGAGCGATGAAAAATGTGTGGCCACACGGCAAAAACAACACACCACACATAAACCGATTTCACTCGCAAACATTTAAAAATCAGACGGGAGATCTCCCAAAACTTCTGAAGATGAATTGTGAATTCCGAGTAAACAAACATGGCGGAATAGGCGGAGGATTTGGATTCCCCCTCGCTCCGTGCATCATGGTTCCATCACCTCGCTTTCTGATTGGCTACACATAACATTCAACATTCTGCACACTTGTTATTCAAACCACAAACACTGATGTTGGGCTCAGACAATCCAACATTTTGAATATCCCTGATTTATGGTCAGAGTGGTCCTAAAGTCTTTCAGAGCAGACCAGAGCACCGTTAACACACCACACACTGGAGGAATGTCCAATATGATTGTCTTTTGTGCGTTTACGATGATTAGAGCCATCATTAAAGCTGTTGAACACTCATTTAATCAATGCACTTGCAGTGGCTTCTAGAAATAAATGCCTTGTAAATGGTACTCGTGGGGGAGAAAAAGCCCAGAAGTGCCTGTATCAGCATGCAGGAGTCAGCTGGAAGAGAAAGTAGCTTCAGACAGCAGGATTTTGGAGTCTTTATTATATTTTGGACATCTCTCCTCATGCTGGATAGCAGCAATGCAACTCTTCCACTGACTCCATTTGCTTTGAAACTTAAATGTTTTATCTCCACAAATAAGTCAAGCCTGAAGCAGTTCTGCTGTGTGGTGGAGTTGCTAATGCTAACGGTTAGCTCCTACTAGCTAGAGTTTCACGTCTATTTTCTATCAGAAGCTAATGTAGGAGATAGGTGTAGGAGACTATGTTCATGTTCAGCCTGCATGAAAAACTCAGAGTGACCGATTATGATCAGAAATAATAATTAAGAACTGGTTTTAGAATTATACACACCTTTAATATTGTTGGAGGGGGAGAATCAGCTCAAAAACTGGCACAATTGTCATGTGTGTGGGCAGGAAATCTCAATTGTTTCTTTTTCTTTGAAGGTTTATGAAAATGTATTTAACTGAACAGCTATAAATTGTGGGAAAGTGGAGCATTTTTAGCTAATCAGTCCTTTAGACATAGACTCCTTTTCACCAAACGGAGGCCATTCATGAAGCTATCTACAACTACTTACTAATTACTAATTACTAAATAATTAACATTTCTGTATAAGTGCTTATTAACGTTTCCACTCCTTTAGTCTATTATTAAACTGCCTAAATAGAAGGGAGTTACTGTCCTACTGCTGATCAGCTGCCTGAGAGTCCAGGCCTGTCACATCACATTGTCACCACTATGGAGCCTTAGAGAAATTCTTGCTGCCTTAACAAAAACAGTAGTGGCTATCAGGCAAGTTGAAGCCAATTAGCTGACCAATCAGGGCAGACTTGGCCTTTGGAGGCATTACAGAGTTGGGCTTTTCAATACTAATGTGAGAAGAGAGGCATGCCTTTTATTAATGCAATAGAACAAGTATGTGTGTGTTTAAGCAAGCGGCCAAAAATAAATTTGTTGTTTTTGAAAAAAATTATAGTTTAAAAGGATCTTCTTAAACACAAAACAGGTGTTCCCAATCACTGCCCGGGTAGCTGAGGGAAAAGCCAAAACAGAACATGGAGTTAAAGCTCCAGGTGATGATAAAGATGTTAGCAATTGCAAACTCCAGGTGAATTCCATGAATGTTCAGAAAAGCGATGTTACTTTGCACTAAGAAAACAAAACTAATGAAGAAATTTGTATGATGTCATATCTTCAAATTAAAATTGGGAGAAGTCCAAACTCCTCTTGACTGAGCAGCCAAGTCTGCAGCCCTACAATCTTATTTGAGTCTGAATGCAAAACATTAAAAAAATGAAGATGTGTTTGGTATTTTTAAGGCAGAAGTTTCCTCTTTAAAGGGCACAAAAATTCTGGGAATTTTCTTCATTTTTTTATGGAGTTGGCTCGTGTGTTTCATGCATTTTGGAATATTTAACACATTTGAACTCATCTTGTGAAGCGCCTGGATTCTTAGGCGTTAAAAAAAAATCAAGTCATGGTCAAGGTTGGAGGAAACTGGCTGTTTCAAGTGGCTTTTGGGCCTGACAGCAGTTAAGCAACTTCAATACAGGTTATGTGATCTAGGCCTAGTCCACACGTAGCCAGGATTTTTTAAAAACGAATATCCGCCCCTCCAAAAACTTGCATCCACACCACCTCGTTTAAAAAAAAACTCTTTCCACACGTACCCGGATAAATACGTTGTTAAGGACATGCCAGACCTGTAGGCGGCAGTACTTCCCCCGTTCTTAACCTCGTCCTTCGTTTGTGGTCTTCCGCAAGGAGCAGTAATTCCGCTTGCAAAAACAAACACGCAAAAAGCGCTTGGACAATTGATAAAGCGAGCGCAGCTCTGAGGGCATCCATGCTGTCGGCTAGTGTAAACACAGGTCGCACACGTGATGTCAGCATTTTGTTGTCGCAGAAAGTGACGTTGCGGACCTTAAAACTCCGGTTTTGTCTGTCCACACGCAGACACCCAAAACAGAGAAAACACAGATCTTCACTTTGGCCGGAGTTTTTAAAAAGATCCGTTTTCGTGTGAAAAAACTCTGTTTTCATGTGGATGACAGGCCAAAACGTAGAAAAATATCTACGTTTTGGCAGATCCCCGGCTACGTGTGGACAGGGCCCTAGACTCCTACTGACGGCTGTAAGTGCAAGCAGATGTCTAGTGGCATTAAAAATGAAGAGAGGATTGTAACAGAATGAAATGACTGTTTTCCATATAAAAGTCATCCCCCCCCCCTCTCTCCTCAGCAAGAACTAGTCTGCATGAGATATTGTTCAAGGTCTCATGCATCTGCTCCTAAACTGTATTCATTTCCAGCTCAAGAGAAGAATGAAGAAAAGGACTCTCTTTTTACTAAATCAAAGAACTCTATTTTTAACAAGCTAATCAAACAAAGTGTTAGTCAATAATAAAATGTGAACCAATTTGTGAAATGAAAATATGAATTACTTGATATTATAATCCTATAGAATATAATGAGTAATATGATTTTAAATGTTTCCACTAGAGACTGATCACATGTAAGGTTAAGCCACATCACACATTGCTTTACTGATCCAATCAGAATCTGCCAGATCTGACGGAGGCGTGGTTTTGTGGTGCGTGGCAAATCTGTCATCTTTTCATTCGACCGTACATCAAAACATCCGAAGTATAAAACTATGCCTACGTCATCTTTAACGCCAGTTCAAAGCGTTCTAGAGAAGTGTCGGAGTGGCCAATCCGTAACTTTCCTCTTCAGCCGAAAGAACCGATGACAAGCTGGATAAAATCTGTTGCATTTTACCAACCAAGCAACGGTTCCTTTCAGAATAAAAGCTGAATCATCACGACCCCATTTTGGGTCTTGCTAGATGCCAACAAAACCGGAAGTATCTCAAAGACTGGTCTGGTCGGCAACCGCTGCTTTTCCTACCGGCTTTGGTTCCAGAGAGGGTCCAGCTGGACCTCGACATTCCTGATCTAACGGGGACTTCCGAAAGGGTATGTAGGCTGACAGGATGGCGTCTTACGTGTTTATGAATCTCCTAACCAACGCTTAGCGTGAAGACATCACCTTCACTCCCATCAGAACTAATCGTTTCTCCGGATTTGCTGGTTCTGAACAACATTCCACATTACACCATTCTCCGTCTCACTTCACCTTAGTTACACCATACATTTAGTGTTAAAGTTAGTCTAGTTTTAATTTGTTTAGTCATAAATCTTTAAACTTTTAAAACTCGACTCTCTTCTGTTGTCTCAGTCAATACGAAGTGTTACATAATCCCTGCAATAAAAAGTTCCAATTTTCTGGTTCAAAGTACCCAAATATCCATAAGATTGATTCCACATTTCCTATGGAATCTCATGTCTCATGGTTCATTAAATAACATGTAAATTAACTCTTTACAGGATGCTCTTCCTTCTTGATTTATAGCTTTGTGAAGATCTAGCTCTGGATTATGGAGGACTCCTCCTGCCAATAGGAACCATCCATCCATCTATTTTCTTTACCCACTTATCCGTGTGGTCTCAAGCAGGCGGGGTACACCCTGGACATGTTGCATGCAGATTCCTTTCAGAGAGACCCCAGGCTGGTATGTGAACCCTGGACCTCCTTGCTGCAAGGCAACAGCGCTAACCACTACGCCACTGTGCAGCCCGCCAAAAGGAACCATAAATAGATAAACAAATAAATAAATAAACATCAACATCCCATAGAGCAAAACTAGTCTTCTTTTTGACTTTTTTTTCTTTTCTAAAAATGTAACAATAGCAATAAAATCCAAAGTGACAGAAGATGTAAGTGAAGATTTCCGACTTTTGTCTCAAAATTTTGTTAAAATTTTGTTGATTTAACTTGATAAACTTCCAGGACCAACACGGGGGCAAATTTTCTCCTCATCTATTATTTGTCGTTTTATTTGTCCTCCATGCTTGAGTTGCTAATATTCTCTATACATCTTGGTTTTTGTTAGATAAATTATGGTTAGTTTGGCTTAAAGGCACTCTGTGCAACTTTTCCATATTTCTAAACCATTTTCTTGAGCCACTATTTGCTAAAATGACACTTTGCAGGGTACTGCACTTGCAACTTCAGAGTGCTAGTCTGGTCCCTGTTGGCCTTAAGCCTAGTTTATGCTTTTCCGTCTGCATCTGAGTGGAAACACGCAACGCCATTATCCGTCCCTGCAAGGGCTCTCCTGCAGGCTCGCAAGGACAGACGGAGCCGAGCCCACTTTTCTAAACGCCCGTTGAACGAGACGGAGAACCGAAGCTTGTGATTGGTCAGGACGCAGCTTCCTTTAAATTTGTCAACAGATATCTAGCGACAGACATAGAGCAGCTTGAAGAATACCTCTTGGCCAAACTCTGAAACGTTTTATTCACCTGTGACTGGGTCAAGCGTTTTAATTGTGGATGGAAATGATGGGAAACATGGGTGTAGAGGTGGCGAATGCATGAAGAGGTGGTGGAGGATGAAGGACAATATAAACACAATAGTAAGCACTATCTTGGACCAGATGACACGACAGGATACCACAGAACAGCGCTACGCCCCCTGTTGTCCTGGCGGGGAATTGCTTTGCAACACTCCAGGAGAGCAAAACGTCTCGGTCAATGCAAATTCATCTCTCCCTTGTGGAGCTGATACAGAAGCTTAAACTAGGCTTTAGTAAAATTGAGCTGGCAGACCTGGTCTTTCCTGCATGTTTTAGAACATGAGCACAGCTGTTTTGTTTGATTTAGTGATGAATCACTCCTGTAGACACTAAAGAAGGCTGGGGAGACATTTCAGCAGTTAGATTAAGGTGTTAAAAAGACAAACGTACATTGAGGAGAGAAGTTTTACTTTGGTTCCACTAACTGGACACTAGCAGGTGCTAAAAGCAAGCCAAAACTGCAAAGTCTCCCTTTAAAATTGTTTTCTACTGTGCCGAGGCTCAAACGTAATTAGAGGGAGTTTCTTAGGAGTGATCTCCCTGACGTTACCCGTCTTTTCTGTATTTGGCAATACTGCAAACCATGCCTTTATTGCCTCAAAAGCAGGATAATTTTAACAAGCTGTGACACTAAATGTTTGAATTTTTTGGGTCATATTTGTATGTTTTAGGTTCGTTCACCTGCGTGGCTTCCAACCCGGCCGGAGAGGCCCAGCAGACGGTGGATCTGGTCATTGCCAAACTCCCTCACATCACGAACAACACGATTGCCGAGCAGGAGCCTGACCCTGGATCGTCGGATATCGCCACGGCGTCCAGGACTGGGACGGAGGCGGGAGGGGTTCCTCTGGGGAACGCAAAGACGAGCCAAGAGAAGAAAGTAGTGATCGCTGAGGCGAGTTCCAACTCGGCGCTTCTCAAGTTTAACTTCCACAGGAGCATCCCAGGGATCCGCATGTTTCAGATCCAGTACAACGGGACCTACGATGACTCACTGGTGTACAGGTGAGAACAGGACTGGATGATTTAAATTAAACATAAATAAAAATGGAAAACCTAAGTGAGTGTAAACAAACTAAATTATACTCTAACCCCATGATTTCTCCTTAAGCTCCACAGTCCACTTCAAAAGCTTCAATCCCCTTGCAAGTTCAGTCATTAAGAGCTGGACCTGACTGTCGGCATGATTTGTGGTATCTGCTAATCCCATCAGGAAGACAGACTAATGCACCGTGCATGAATTCTTATCCTGCGACTCATAATCCTCCCTTGTGTATTATTCACTATGTGTAGGGCCTTGATAATGCCTAATCAACAAAATCAAAACACAATGTCAGCACTAAGCCGCCGACCCATAGGAAGATGAAAGAGCCGTCTTCCAGCGTTTCACCGAAAAGCATCAGAGGCTTCAGCACAAGCGTATCTGAAGAAGCGTTCTTTCGTTCCTGCTGCACTCACTCTATACTCAGCGTTAATCTCTGTGATGTGATGGTATCGTTGCACAAATCCTTTTTGTAATTGAACTTGGGGTCAGTTGCACATATGGTTTGTCAGCAGGGCGAACGAGGCTTCCCGCTCTCCCCAGCAACCGTTTCGCTGCGATACCATTGAAAGAAGAAATCAAATGTCAGAGCAAACTGTGTAGACACGTCTTAAATGGCCCCCTGGAGAGATAAATGATTGTCACGTCATTTTCTCCCAACAACAGTGAGCTGGTTAATCTGTTTTGTTTCATTTAAAAGCCTCCTAATCTACGTTCCAATGCATCTCTCCCCTTACAGGATGATACCCCCCACCAGTAAGGACATCCTAGTAAACAACCTGGCAGCCGGTACACACTACGATCTGTGTGTTCTGGCTATTTACGACGACCAGGTGACTTCTCTGACTGCCACCAGGGTGATCGGTTGCATCCACTTCACCACGGAGCCTCAGTACCTCAGATGTCATTTCATGCAGTCCCAGTTTCTTGGCGGGACCATTGTTGTAATCATCGGAGGGATTATTGTGGCCTCGGTGTTGGCGTTCATTATCTTCCTCATTGTGCGCTACAGGGTGTGCAACCAAGGGGATGTAGATAAGGTCAGTAAGGCTGTCATCCTCCTTTATTTTTTATTGGCTTTAAGGAAAAGGGGTGTAATGACATGATCTTTATTCCTCACCAGGCTCTGGAGATGGGGGACATCCGATCACTGAGCAGTGATGGACAGCTACAAGGCTGTGGGATCCCCAAGTCCCTGTCCAAACAGGTCCTACATCCAGAGAAGAACGACAAGGACTGCCTCAGAGTCGCCCTCCCACCTCCAGAGGCAACCAAGCAGCGAGCGCCTGTCGCCACACCCGCCACAAAACCCTCCATCCCCGACTGCACGGTCTCTACCTCTGCTGGCAGTCACAGCTGGCACCCAGCGTCTCCGGGAGCCCCAAGGCCCAAACGTGCCGGCGCTCCAACCAAACCCTCCGAGGCTCGACGAGCAGAAGCTCAAGCAGACGTCGAGCTCAATAACATGAACCGGAACAACTCATCGGAAGTCAAAACGGCCAGTGCCGTCGCCCTTCCCAGTTCCGGCCGGCCCATCAAATGGACTGCTTCTCCCAGGGGCCCGCGGCCCCACGTAGCCTCACGACACTACATGACTGTGCCAGCAGGGGGAGCGAGAGTGAACCGCAGGCACTCGCTTAACGCTGACTCGTGCAGGGAGCACTGCTATGTGGCTTACCCTAAAACTGGGGCCAGCCTGCGCTCCAAGCGCAGCCTGTCCATGAGCGGGGAGCTGCCGCAGCTCCACAGCACCACAAACATTCACCGGGCCCGGGACAAGCTCTCCAGATCCGAGTGGCTGCTGGAGAGCACTTTATGATCTCAAGTTCGCAGCTTCTTTACTTTGATTGGAACGGAGGCCCGACGTGAATCACACGGGAGTTTTACGCCTTGCTTTGAGCTTTTGTGCTCTTTTACTGAGGAACCTGCAGAGGACAGCCACACAGGGTGGAGGAAACCTTGTTCTTTTCTACCTTATAACCTATCAAAGTCTTCTTTACACGGACCTTTGGTTAAACCTGGACGAAAGGCACAACAGTGTATAAAACAACATCATGTACAGAAACGTTTAGTTGTGTGAGATGCTATATATCTCAGTGCAACTTTCAGTGTTCACGTGGTTTTGAATGCAGTAACCTGATTATGCTGTAATATAACAAGAGGAGCATCACAGGGGGTGGAGTTACAGCTACTGATGTTTAAAGTGACGACATCTCCGAAGACTCTTTTTTTGTGTGTGAAAACAAGACTTGTCTGTAGCTCTAACGACAGACGGCGACACATTTTAATGACCCCGGTGGTGATTCGGAGAGATTAAGAACGTGCGTTACGTCCCAGAGGTGCAGGAGCCGAATGTAGGCAGGCGGCGCTCCTGCTTTCCATCCCAGACGCAGCACAATGCAGCATTTTTTTCCTTTTCCTTTTCTTTTTTGTTGTTGTGGCACAAGCCGACTCAGCCTAATACTGCCCCCCGGTTTGAATCGATACATTTATATCACATAATTACATAACGACTCAGCTCCGATTGGATTCCTGTCATGACCGATTTGAGCAGCGGTTGAACCGGCAGCCAGAAATCTGATATTACGTGTTGATGCGATCCAGAGGAATGGTTCCATTCTCGTGTTTTTTTACTTCTACACGTTATCTCGCCGCGCCGGCAACAACCATTGTAAATGAACTTGTGGATGTAAGAGTGGGGAGGACGTTGGTTCGCTCTTGATTTTGTTGTTGTTTCTGTTTGATGTTTACCAGTATAAATAAACCAGTGATAAAAAAAATAGGTCACAATCAGATTTATCTCATTCTCACACACGTTGCAGATCATCTCCCTTATTTGCGCCAAGTCTTTCAACCAAAGCGGTGGTAAATTTGGGGTTTTGGTCGTTTTCCGTGCTACTTAACTCCCTGTTCTTTGCATGCGGTGGACCTCTGATGGATCCCCGAGCTCTTGTGTTTGTTCAAAGAGCGGAGGGAGGCAGATGATGAAAAAGGCCTCGCCAGTCACAGGGGACGCCTCTCGCTTGCAGATCTCCTTGCTCATCTAACAGCGGCGTGCCTGTTCCCTCTGAAGCCTGAAGCCACAGCAGAAACCTGCGGCTGTAGAGGTTAAACACAGCCTCCGCAGTGGGAAACCGTGCACAACTAATCAGAGGTGCCGTCGCAGGTTTGATGTGATGTGCGTTATCTTCTGCTTCAGTGTGTTTTGGTGGTGGATTGATTTTCACATGCATTGGGTTGCAAATACGGCAAAATGCAGGAAAACCCCGTTAAGATGAGCTCCACACTCTGTAAGACAAATAGATTCCTGTCACCCAAACAGGCTGCGTTCAAGACACTTTTATTTATTATTTCTCGCTTATTGCAGGTGATTAAAATGCCAAGGAGCTTGGCCTGAACCCCAGTTAGGTTTTTGGTGAGTGCCAGAGGTGCGTGTTAATAATAGATGCTTTTGTGTGGGGGGAGAAGTGGGGGGAAGGGGGAGGGGTACATAAAGTTGGGTGGGAGGTGAGGATGAAGACCTAAGCTTGGTTTATGCTTGACGCGTCCGCGAGGTCCGCACGGAAAAGTTGCGTCATTTTAACAACCACGCCCCTCCACCGCGTCTCCGCACGGCCCAAATTTTCCGCACCGCGCACCTAGGAAATTTTCTAACCACGCGGACAGTCGGACGCGGAAAAACATGGCGGACTGGCAAGAACTAGTATGGCAGAGGTTCGTAAATACAGACATTTGTATGATTCAGCTCTCAAAGATCACCGTGATCAACATGTTGTTAATAATTCTTGAAGAGAAATAGCTCGCACTGTCGGAAAAGACGAGGACGCTGTAAAAAAGTGCTGGAATGCCATGTTGTAAACAACAGTCATTTTTACTTCTACTATGGTGTAGTGTTGGATGCATGCTGTAGAGCTCCATGCTGCCCCCTACAGTTTGGGAGAATATTGGCTCCCCGCAGAGACAAGCCGCATGAACCATAAACGCTGCGAGCTGTGAAGCGCGTTCCATCCGCGAGCCGCATCACCAAGCGGAAAGTAAATGCGTCAAGCATAAACCAAGCCTCATAGGTGCAGCAGGAGAGGGAGAAAAGAGCCTCTGGCTCGTCTGTATTCCCGTGGCACCACCACAGGCGTGCTCTGATGGGCCAGTGGCAATTTTTAGGTGGCACACAGATAAAAACATTTCTTTTATTTCAATTATATTTTATTTTAGGACATTTTAGGACAGATTAACTCCCAGCTCCCGCCTGGAAATGCCAAGTGGTGCTCGCTGCAGAACCACAAAGGCGGAGCTGCACCAGAAGGTGGAGCTGCACCAGAGTCAGCCCCGCCCATTCACGCAAACTCAGCCTAACCCACTGACTTCCGTTTTTGTTTTCAACTTTATCGCAAACTGACCTGACCCACATGAATTACGGCTGTTGTGCCCTTGGGCAAGACAGTTAACTCACCTTGCCGGCTGCTGGTGGTTGGAGGGAGCGGTGGCATCAGTGCTCGATAGTCTTGCCTCCATTAGTGTGCTCCAGAGCAGCTGTGGCTACACTGTAACTCATCCCCACCAGCGTGTGAATGTGTGTGAATAATTGTGTTGTAAAGCACCTTGGGGGGTTGTAAAACCCTAAGAAGGTGATTTACCATTTCCTATTTATCAAAGTGCTGAAGGCCTTCTCTGGTAGGGGGTCAGTGGGGTGTCAAGCAACTATCCAGAGGGAGGCCTCGGCCACCCCTGGCCACTCCTTGGGGGAGCCACTGCTGTTTTCAGGCCACCTCCACAGAGTTGGTGAGAACAGGGGAGGAGGGAGCAGGAACCAACCTCAGATGGAGGTCGGGCGGCGCAAACTCTGCGGCCACATCAGAACCACAAAGCAGCACGAGTGTGACCCACTTTCTGCCCTTTTCTTACTCTGACCCCTACTCGAGCTGACCCCCATTACAGCTCCCAAATATCCTGCAGAGGTTCAGCGGAACCCTAAAATTCCCCACATTCTCCCTCTCTCTGCTGCTTCTCGGTTGTTTTGTTGAAGAACCTCCCCCATGCTGACCTCTGACCCCCATAACCAACTGCTTTTAATGGCAGTAATGTAGAACAGGACATTACCACAGTCGTGTGCAATTTGTGGCTCATTTAAGGAGCTCGTTGTTCTTCCTCCAACGAGCTGGAGAGCCTTTTAGCGTCGCCGTTGGGAAGCAGAAATGGGAAGACTCCTTCAACAAGTGTCTTGGCACCTTTTGCTCTTCGTGCTGCAACTCAGTGTTTCATTATCTCCATGCAGCAGGCGGCATTTAGTCAACGTCACACATGAGACACAGTGTCTCTGGCAGAGCATTGTTCCTGAGAGAACACGTCAAAGACCCAAAACCATTTTGGGAAGAGGAGGAGGTGGCGCTGCTGCTGCTGCTGCTGCTGTGTAAAAAATGCAAAGGCAATTCCAAAGGGTATGCATTATTGAGAGGAGTAAATGGGCCTGGAATGAGCATCAAGGCTCATTAATAGTGGATGTGATTACCGTTTCTGGGAATACGGCGGTCCGGACAAGAAGGGAGTCGACTGAAAACCCAAAGAGGCCAAGATCCGCTTTGCTTACTCAGCACCAACTGTCATGTCAAAGTCGTGACCGAAGCTGAGAAATGTTTCTGCCGAGTTTCCTGTCACGGTCACAAACAGCTCATCCTGAAGCTTCGGCTGTCCACCTGAGCTCACAAACATGGAGGCAGCCATCTTTAATCTGCTTCTGATTCCTCGATTTTGTCAAAACGGAGCAAGGTCATCAGCCGATCGCGACGCAGCACAAGAGATTCGATGTGAACCCAGATCATCTTGCTTTAACCTCCCGAGGGGTTCCCACACTTCTTTCTCCTCCTCTCACCCCCTCTCTCTCTCTTCTGTTACATGTTCTTCAAGATGATGGACGACCAACAGGCTGGCTGCAGTTTACACCATTAGGAACCATTTTCTGCCCATTTGCCTGATAGCTGCTATCTCTTCTAGAAGTGGTTTGCTTTCCGTCTCTGGCCTGTGTGCACCCCTCCCTCCATACATCCTCACCCAGCCTCACCCTTCAGGGATGGATCTCTCATTGATTTTGTTGGAGATCGCTAAACGAGCAGTGCAACAGACAAACCAGATGTGCCAGTCAACTATTCATCAGCCGCTGGTGAAGAGGAGGGGACGTTCAACGCTTCAATCACAGTGATTTACTTAAAGCGCTAATCTTGTTATCGCTTCAGGCTTCTGGTAAGAGAGCATTAGCAGCTGCTGGGAGGTCATGGCCAGCATTATTTGGACTTTTTATCTATGAGCAGCTCCAAACATGAAGATGCTCTGTTTGAGTCTGAATTTTGCTTCCTCATTCACTCGCAGAGTGTGGCTTCAGGGCGCCCATAAGCAGCTCATTGAGGGATTATTTACAAATATAGATGTTTTTGTGTGATAATCTTATTTTTTGCTCAGTGTGATGCAAGACAGCTCATTTAAATGTCAATCCAGGGTCACGTTTAACGTTTCAGTGATGTGCATTTGATCAAATATTAGACGTTTTTATCTATAAAACCACATTGGTCTTGCAGAAGCTGACGGAAGATCACACGAATGGCTGGTTCCTGGTGGTTCTTGGTGAACAGAGGTCAGACCGTGATGCTGTGGTGTCTGGTCCTGAAGAGACCGATGGAGATGGATGAAAATTCAGAAGCAGAGTTCACACACAGAGAAAAGGAGAGTAGAAAATGTTTGTGCATCAGCTAGAAAAGCATCATGTGCATGAGATGGAACCAGAATGAAAAGTAAAACACACCAAAAGAGAGGACATTTAAAACCTGACGACAAATCTGGACATGAATGAACAGATTCTGTTTGCAAACCTCAAATAATAAAAGAAAGCGACTAAAAAATTCTGTGTTGCAGCATTTTAAAGAGTCTAAAAGAAACAGATAGCATTACGTGTCTGAGCCTCTAACACAGTGACTCTCAGCTACGACCACATTTGAGCTTGACTCAACATTTGCACAAGTGACAAGGTTATGGTCATTTTTGTGTTTGTTGTGGCAGCCATGTTGAATCGGGTTGAATCTCAAAGTTAATTATCTGTGAGAGTGAATCTGATGATTACGTTCTGAGGGTTTCGTTAAAACCCACCGAGTGGTTCACGAGACGTTTTCTCTTAAATACAAACAAAATTTTTGCTTTGACTTTTGATTAACCTGCGGATTAAAGTGATGGTGTGTATTTTCCTTGACGATAGGCGGCAGTACATACCTAAATCGCCAGTGGCGCCAGTGTTCGGCAGCCTTGCCTCTGTCAGCGCGCCCCAGGGCAGCTGTAGCTACGTCGTAGCTCATCCCCACCAGTGTGTGAATGGGTGAATGACTGATTGTGTTGTAAAGCGCCTTGGCGGGTTCCAGGACTCTAGAAGGCGCTATATCAAATACAGGCCATTTACCATTTTACCATTTAAATCGCTGCAAGCAAGCAGTATTTTTGTGTTTGAGTAAGACGTTACCAACGGATGGCCATTAGGGTCAAAAATCCCCTGGAGTGCAACTTCCACCAAAAAGACAAACACATCAGGCTCTCTTTCATCACTGGAAATGAGTGAAGTGGTGAATAAGTAAAACAACGTTTATTAATGGTGAAAGTTTTGCAACCATTTGTTACAAATCAGCATTTGTCCTCACGGGCTCCCGTAGAAGGAAACATGGCATCTATATTATGGCATCACCCTGAGACTTAGACCAGTTCCCATGTATTTTAGACCCAATTTCAATGGTTATACATATGTTACGAAGCCGCCAATGTTTTTTTAACAACTGGGCATCATTTAATTCATTTGCAACATTTCAATGGATATTTCCAGAGATTAATGGTAAAAACTACACATTGTCTCTTTAAAGATTCTCGTGCAATTTATTAAAACAATCCAAAATACCTAAATTACAAATAAAGTTCAAGATTTAAAATTATATTCATGTAATAAGGAAAATGAGGATTTATGAAAGTGCAGTCCAGATGAGTCTAAATGAGAATCTGAAGACGAGAAAAACAAATCCCTGCTTCATTTTCTTTTATTTGTTTCAACGTTTTCCACAAATCAGTCCTAAAACAGCTAATAAAGGTGGAATGTCTGAATTAAAATGTGAGTGCAGAAGCTTACAGGCATAAATGTGTTTTATTACCTTTTTATCTACTTCTTAATCATAAATTACATCACGAGGAGAAGAAACGGGAAGACTGCCAACTGGAGAGATGCTGGTTAAATCCCAGCACCCCCTACTGGATGTCTCTCCCTCAGGACTCACTTGAAATGAGACACATTTATCTGAATGGGGCATCCCTGGCGATAAATAAACACATAAATAAGTCAAATCAGAATACGTTTTTTAAAAAATTCCTCTGAAATCTTGGAG